TTGCAAAACCCTTTATCTGAAAATATGTTTTCTCGCTCATTCATTGGTGTATTGCCATATGCTGGTGTAACAAGTGGCTGATTGATGTTTGTCATTTGCATTTCGCCGGCGCTTGATTGCAATTCAGTGATTTCCTGTCTTAAAAGGCAGCAGCAGGTCCTCCGCAGAACAGAAGTAGAAGAATTTTTCCACGGACGAGATGAGTTTTTAAAAATTCTGACGTGCCGTGGCCAAGATCTGCAAGGTTTACAGCTGGAGAATATTAAACAGAATTTAAAAGGGAATATCGCTGCTTAGTGAGATGACACTATGCCAGCAGCACCCAACCCCCTCCTCCCCAACCCAACCACCCTTTAGGTATATAGGCGATGATGAGAGTGACATCCATTAATTGACAGGGCTGGACCTTGCCGGCATTGAAGTGGACAATGTGGGTGATTGCACCCGTGTACTCATTGATTGCATTAAGGCTTGCGCTGTTTGGATTGAATCATTCTTGCCATCCCCTTGGGCTTTGGCTCCAGCGTCGTTCTCCACGGCTGTGGTCCCTGTGGTGGTGATGAGGGGGTTAAAGGTGTGGCTGGATGCCGTGCATCACTTGTGGAATGGTGAAGGGAGCCGGCAGGGTGGGGTTTGCCTGGGAGCAGAGAATGATGGAGGTGGTAGGGGGAAAAGGAAAAAAGACCTGGCTGGTTAATAAGGAGCTGGGCGCGCTGGATTTTATATGATCTGTAAAATTTGTTGGGGATGATGAGAAAATTCAGCTTAAAGCTGTCATTAGACAGCTCAGACAACGCATGTGCTCATTATGCCTGTGGCATTGATGATGGTTCAGACCAGTCAAAGAAGTTAATTGCTGCTGATTTAGTATCTATCCATTACCTATCTATCTATCTATCTATCTATCTATCTATCTATCTATCTATCTATCTATCTAGCTGTCTATCCTCCCTCATCCTCGCTCTATTCATCTGTCTACCAATCTTCCTCTCGCTATCCTTCTCTCTGTCTCTCTATCCACCCTTCTCTCTCCTCATCAGTCTTCCTTTCTCTCTTCCTCTATCTCCCTCTTTAGCCTGTTCTCGATCTGTACATTTTTCCATTTCCTCCCATCTTCCCTCCTTCTCTCCATCTCCTCTCTCTAAGATTTATAGAGTTTTACCTATCTCATGATACATGACGTTGCATGCACTTCCTTGATCAGCAGTATCCATCAGTATGCATGCTCTTATCCAACTGTGCATTGATATGAAATGAGACCACTGCTCAGCCAGGATAGTCTCAGTAGATGGGGATCCATCAGTATGCATGCTCTTGTCCAACTGTGCATTGATATGAAATGAGACCACTGCTTAGCCAGGATAGTCTCAGTAGATGGGGGTCCATCAGCATGCATGCTCTTATATAACTGTGCATTGATATGAAATGAGACCTCATCTTAGCCAGGGTAGTCTCAGTAGATGGTTAGGGAAGTGAACCAAACCACTGATTTGGAAGTAGCCGGTTGCCATCACGCCTTATAAGTTCATTTAATTGGAGCTCTGGTGATTAATATTCCTCATTGTCATACACAATATGGTTCAAATGCCCTCTCTATGGAGAGTCAAAAGGGTCTTCATGGCATGAGCATATGCACCTGAAATCAGAGATGGACAATGCTAAAACCCTTTCTGGAAGGGGAGAAATGTTCTCTTGGTTTATGCTGCAGTAGCTGAACTGTCTAGACATAAAACTGTTTGATCAATGAGGGGAAGGAGCAATGCATGGAGTGCTGGAACTCAAAACTGCAACTAATCAGAAAACATTGTTCATCATTCTGACTGTTCTAAGCTGATGAACGTTGATTGGCTGAATTTGCCTCTCCATGGTTCCTGCATCTCGAAAAGCCAGCTCCGCAATATAGGGCAAAACTGTTGGCTTGCAGAACTGTTCATTCTTGAAAAAAAAAAAAAAAAAACGTTCATCGTGCAATATTCTCTCTTACGTCTGCTGTGTCCTAGTTCTGTTTCGTTTGATATGTGATTTGCTGGCATCCCTGGCTTAGATTTCATGCCGTTTCAATAATGAATGAACAAGGTGCCACACCTTTTTTTTTTTATACAGCCACAATGAGGTTGTAAGCCTGTGCGGCACTTATGTGAGAAGCAGACCGAGGGTGACACCTCATTGGTCCATCCGCTATGTGCCAGCCAGCCTATCGCAAAGCAAAGCCTGTCACTATACGTGGATGATCTCTACTACCCTTTCCTGAACGTTCAGGCCAAAAACAGAGCAGTAAGTCACTTTGATCAGTTTGCACATAAAGGGGCAACAAAGTGACCCCGGGGGTCTTTATACGTGACTATGTGGAAGAAGACGAATGGATATGTCACAGACTGGATGGCGTTGCAGATGGGGAACGGAGATGCCTAAAGAAAGGATTGCAAGAAACGATGTCAAGATGAGGATGAGGGTCACATCTTTCTGCCTTGAGGAAGGGACCCTGCGCGGTCCCGAAACGTCGGTTTATTTGGATGTCTGTGACGCTTTCTGTCCAATAAAAGGGACATATTTATCTTTACTACTGAGTGCTGGTGATTTCCTGACTTTCCTGTGTTTGCACGGCGCCATCCGTGGTATCTCATCACTGCGAGCACCACTTTTTTCATATCTGGCCGGGACTGCTGTGAGGAGTGCGGAGGGTCTCTCCATCTACTTGCAAGATGAGGATTTTGTCTTGAAAGTTGAAAACAAAAAAAAAGGTGATCGTAATAATGAGGAGTTTCATATTGGGGAGCAAGACGTGTTCCCGAATGGAGAACGTTAACCAAGTGGATTTGCATGTTTGACAGTCTACAGTAAGTGGAATTCCTATTGGACCAGAGGAGCAGCTGGTCACGAAAAGTACCGTAGGGATGAAGAAAAAATGTACCTTGGGTGAAAATATTCCTGGAAAGATAGAAGATAGATGAACGTGCAGCGTGAACGACTTCCGAATGTGGAACATCTCGACTCATTTGGGATTCCGGCAAGACTTCGTTACAATCTCAGAGCTCCAGCTGCATGTTCCATCAGCAGCTTTAATATACAGTAGACCACTTTTCAGAGACACGGATCAAAGACTTTAAGGAATACCAAGGCTCGTTTGAAGATGTTCTGACCATTAACCTTTGGTGCTCATTGACGTAAGAGCAAGAAGTCTAATTTTCGCGATTTGTGTCACATGAAATGGGCATTAGTCAAGCTTTTTTTTTTTTTTTTT